GCATCTATGTTCCTGGCGCGTCTCCGAGTGTTGGGCTCTTCCCTGCTCGGATCGCATCGTAGGAATGTCCTAACTGTGCCAGTGGGGAGAGCTTCACCCTAAGCCCGGAATTCTGAGCCAAGAACTGGAAGTTGACAGCTCGGCTGCCTTGCTCCTGCATCTGCCTTCTCTCACCATCTCATTTCCTTCCCCAGGATTGTCAGTGGGTTCGCCCCGAGGAGAGCTGACTGCCCTGGGCTGTTGCTGACCTCCAGCAGAGCTGAGCCAAAATGTCCCCGGAATCTAAAAAGCTTTTCAACATCATTATTTTAGGAGTTGCCTTTATGTTTATGTTCACCGCCTTTCAAACTTGTGGAAATGTGGCGGTGAGTTGGAATCTGTTCTCTCTCCTTTGAAGTGCATATCATGATTCCAAAAATGATAATAAACGTTAATTATATCTAATAGCGCGCTTAAATGGCATCTTTTATTTTCCCACCTAGCGTTCTTCGTTTCTTATGATTAGGTTTGATTTCTTGTGTCAGATATTTCTCCTGTATGGGGTGTTAAACATTACCGTTTATTTATCCGATTCTATTTTGGAGTTTTGGACATTGACCTAGTTATTTTATTTTTTGTCTGTATTAAGCTGTTCATTAGCACTTGGATGGCTAAGGAAATAAAACTTAGGGAATACTTACAGCTGGCTGCCCTCCCCCTTCTCTGTCTGTCATTTGTTTGCCTTCTCCAGTTCTGTTACCCTTTTTCTTTTCTCATAGTAGACTTTCAGTATTAAGTATTAAGCATTGTGAATTTTCATTTTATTCTCTTTCTCAGTACTTGGGGTCAAACTTTCCAAGGGGGAGGGAGATTGCAAAACGTTTTCCTTGATTAGTTTTATCTTCCACACAGCAAACTGTCATCAGGAGCTTAAATAGCACAGATTTTCACGGCAGTGGATATACCAGGTATTGTACTGTATGATTGATATTACTTTACGTTTAACAGTAGTTGCTTAAAACCCCTCAGAATCACCAGCAATAAAATATTGTGATTGAATTAGTGATGATTGCTTTTTTTTCTTCTCAGTATCTAGACTTATTTGGGAGAACATTAGAATAAATGCAATGAGTTTAGTTTTTCTGTGGAATTAGACACTGGGTTTGAAATCCTGGCTCTACAACTTGATTGCTTTGTTATCTTAGACAAGTTACTTCCATGAGACCAGTTTACTTGCTCAGACAATCCATGTAAAGCACTTGGCACGGTGCGTGTCATTGAATAAGCACTTAAGTATTGTTACAATTACGTTTTCCCAATCCTGAACAGAAGATGTTTTATGTGATTCTTGAAACATTTGTGTTCCTGTTTTTATAATTTCATAACAATATACCTTTATCAGAAGCCTTTAGATTTTTGTTAAGTCCCAATTTTACAGATGGGGAAAATTAAAAGACTTTCACAAATCACTAGAATGTTGTGATTGGAGCTGGGAATGTAATACATACATGCATATAAACACAAACTGGTTTCTCTTTTTTTAATTTATTTTTCAATTGACAAATAAAAATTGCATGTATTTATTGTGCACAACATGTTGTTCTGAAGTGTTTTACATTGTCGAATGGCTAAATTGAGCTATGCAGAGAGGTTTCTTAATTTCTCTATAGTTAGATATTGGATCATGGGACCCCTCAGCCACAGCTTTTATTTGGTTCTTGTTACCTGTCTTAAGCCTTGTATATTTGAGAATGAAGGGATGTTAATGTCCACTTTTCTAATTGATTAATAATAATACCACAACTTTTTATAGTGTTTTGTCTTCATGCATATTCTGAAGAACAAAGGAAAAAACACATTTGATGTTTGAGAGATTCGTAAAAGCCAAAGAAGAATTTACTTTAGATTTATGAATAGTGGCTAGTAAATGAATTCAGGACCCATGAAATGGTTTTAGTCACACTTTGTACAAAATGTACATTTGTACTAGGGCAGGGTCGGTAGTAACTGAATAAAGTTTAAATGAGACCATTAGGTTGAGTTAAATAAATTCTGGTTTAAGCAAGTTATAACTCAGTGCTTGTTATTTATAGCAGGCCAATGTCATGCAGTTGCCAGGAGTTGTAAGCTAAGTTTGTAGAACAGACTGGTTGACTAGGGCCTCTGGAGTCATGGGGTCCTGGTTTAAAGTCATAGCTGGACTTCTGGCAAGTTACTTAACTACACTGTATTTCAGTTTTCTTTTCTCTGAATTGAGGATAATAACATTACCTCTTCCTAGACTGTTAGGATTAAAAGAGAAAATATGTATAATAAAGTACTTGGCACAGTGCCTATTATGTTAGCTATTATGATTTACCAGTACATTAAAAATCTATTGTCATAAGTAAACTGATTCAAAGACACATTTCATGGGACTTCAATATTTTGTACAAATGAAAACTTTAATATGGCATTCAGTTTAGTGACATAAATTGTGACTAAAGAGTATGAATGTTTATTGCAAAATCTGTAAACTCTAAATAGATTTAAAAGTGAACTTCAAAGACAGCGCCTGAGGGTTTTGTTCTTTTTTTCCCATTTGTGTGTTACGTGTGCAGTATGGCAATTATTTATGGAGTGTTCTCTGCCTCAAATTTGATCACACCGTCAGTGGTTGCCATTGTGGGACCTCAACTCTCTATGTTTGCCAGTGGTATATTTTACAGGTGAGTAGTATAATCTTCTTTCACTTACTTAATTAGAATACTTTCAACATCTTTCAAGCACATGGTAAACTTTTAACAAGAACTTGGATTGAATAAAATATAGGTGGCATTTTAGGGATCTGGCTCTCTACTTGTTTGTTGCTCAGGGATACAATATTCCTCTAATGTGATGGAATGTGTTTATATCTGCTTTGATTTTACTATTAATAAAAATAGTATTAAACACTTTCTTTCCATGGGGGTTGAAAAGAACATCCCATGAGATAATCTTATTTTCTATCAAGTTGACTAATGGGGATTCAAATAAAATAACTGAATGGGCTCTAGAACTACAGTTCCATCATGTGCTAAGATTTGGCAAGGGCCTTTGCAAACCTGTAAAATGCCTGATTTTACAAATTCAAAATGCTAAATTAAGAAGAAAGTAGGTTGCATTTGTCCCTTTTTCAAAACCAGAGAGGTCCTTTACAGGTTGGATTTAAAGAAGAGAACCCTCAGAACTGATTCCTAGAAGGCATACTTGGCATTCTGTTGCAGGTACTGTTTGACTGTAATGCATTGACCTGTTATATTTTAGCATGTACATTGCCGTTTTTATCCAGCCTTTCCCGTGGGCCTTCTACACAGCCTCTGTTTTCATTGGAATCGCAGCTGCTGGTAAGCATTTTGATTTTTATCTTCTCTGTCTTCTTTTCTGGGGCCTATCTAAGGGTATCATTTATGTGTTTAGTATGTTAAACTAAATGATTTCATTTCCTTGATAAACTTTTGGTTTGAATTTTAGTGCTTTGGACAGCACAAGGAAACTGGTTGACAATAAATTCAGATGAGCACACTATTGGGAGAAACAGTGGAATTTTCTGGGCCCTCCTACAGTCTAGGTAATAATTCCTTTTGAAGCTCAGTCTATCCTTTGATTTTTTTTTTTGTCATCTATATTTTAGGTCTTTGTTTTGTTGAAAATTCAGATCTTCCATGTTACACGACCTAAGTTCTAGCTGAATGTGATAGAGATTCAAAATTTTATAGAATTACTTGTAATGTATGGACCTGCCTTTTGATTAGTAAATAGAAAATAATAGAAAATAACCTCCATGTATTTAGCATTTGCTATATTTCAGGGACTATCGAGTTCTTAATTTTACATAATCCTCATACAACCTTGTGAGAAAAGGTATTATTTCCATCCCACAGATAAAACAGAAACTTAAAAGTTAAGTAATTTATCCAATTTACACCATTGTTACCTGGACTTCAAAGGCCACATCCTTCCCACTAAACTATACTACCTGATAGTTTTTAACAAGTATACTAATTCAAAACTTAGACTAATTATGCCAATACTGAACAATAGACCATATTACATATTTCTTAAGAAAAAAACAAAAGCAGGCATAGGGGAGGGGAGGGAGTTAAAAAAAAAAGAAAAAAAGGAAAAAACAAAAGCAGTCATTCTGTTTATGACTGTTGGATTTTAGGAATCTGTCCTGAGAAGTTACCCTAATGAATCTTGCCTAAAATTTTGATCTTGACAAAGCTTAACAAATGCAAATGTTTAGTTTTAAGGGTTGTATATTAAGAAACAGGAGGGGGAGGGGGGGCAAGGGCAACATATGCAACCTAAACATCTGTACCCCCATAATATGCTGAAATAAAAAAAAAAAAGAAAGAAACAGGAGTGTAAATGATCGACTCCTTCTCTAGGAAAGTTTGCTAAATAAATTATCTGATTAGATGCAGATAACTAAATCATGAATTTTTTTTTATCATAGATTTTTTTTAAATTTAGAATTTTTTAAAGTAGCATGAGCTTGTTTCTAAGGAGGCATTTCCAGAGTTGCAATGAATCACATGTTTCAATGTGAGTCAAATCTTCTTTGAAGTGAGGCTCTGAATCAGGTTACTGTCACATGGAAGGTGACTGATTCTATCTGGGTCAGTTAAGTTTTCAGAGTCAGGGTGGAGCTGATACTTTTTAATGACCTGGGACAGGTAGATACTTTAAAAATTGTGCCTCTCTCTTTTAGCAAATAATGACAATAATTATTTTTTAAAAACCATAAATATTAAAATAATGTCCCAACGCCTTCTCCTCCTTTTTCTCCCCCAGCTTGTTCTTTGGAAATCTGTATATATATTTTGCCTGGCAAGGGAAAACTCAAATATCAGGTTTGTTTCATTTACTTTGCTTTATTTGGATATGTTGTCAGAGCATAATGGTAGTTCTACAGAAATACCCATTATTGCTTTATTCAAACATTGTTCTGATGAGCCTTGGTACCTCAAGGCCTCTCAGATTTTAGCTTTTAGTAAGCCTTGTCCTTGGATCATTATTATTAAACTAGTAGTATAGTTTATGCCTATGCTTCTGGTGGCATCTCAAAGTGTATGAGAAGTTGTGTTCTGTGCGAGTGTGCTAGTCAGTCATCAGAAGACTTCCAAACGCTTGGTTAATTTGTACACTTCTGTGATTAAAAGAACATGATTAAACTCTTGTGCTATTTTTCTTTTGGCTTATTTGTATTTCTCTAACTGAAAGACAAAGGTGGAGGTATCCTATTTATCTCCTCGTCCTAAGTTTTTACTGATGCATTAAAGTAAAAATTAAATGAGGAAGTAGTTTGATGATTATAAGCAACCCTGGACATAGTAGTAACTCTGGAATTGTTTGGTCAATGTTATCTAGTTCCTTCTTTTTTCTCCTTAGAGAGTGACCGGAGAACAGTGTTTATTGCCCTAACAGTGATTAGCCTTGTGGGGACAGTTCTGTTCTTTCTCATTCGGAAACCAGATTCTGAAAATGTCCTAGGAGAAGACGAATCTTCTGATGACCAGGACCTGGAAGTCAATGAGTAAGACGTTGGAAACATTCCTTTTTATCTTAAAGTGGATTTTGAGTAGATCTAGTCTAGAGATTACCGACCTGTTTAGCGCAAGCTGATATCTGATACTCTGTAGATTACCAGGGGCAGACCTGGGAGGAAAGTTTTAAGCAAATAAGAAAAAGAAGATAAAGGGGGAGCTGTGAGAGGGGAAGAAAGAAAAGACCAGCAGAGCAAGGGAGGTGGTAAAAAGGTGCACAGGGGATTTAAGTCTGTTCCCAGCTTTGCCACTGATGTGCGTGTGGCCCTGGCCGGTGGCGGTAACCCCTTCGTGTCTCTGGGCCTCAGTGTTTTCATTCAATTCAGCAGATGTCTACAGTGTTTTCATGTGCAAGGATATGGGCTTATAAAGTAGAAGAGAAAACAGTCTTTGCCTTCAGTTTTTGTGATCCAGCTCTAAAGTTTTCCGATTGCTGTGGTGTGACTGAGTGGCAAGGCCATCGGTTGTCACTGATGAACCTTGGTTATAACCGAGCTCTTGCTCACAGTGACTGGCTCTTGCACTGACCTGTGCGGGTGGTTTTCCCCTGAGTGGTCCAAATGGGGAAGCAAGTACGTGGCCCTGTGTTTTTGTAAAAATGGTAGATTACCTGAGCACATTTCAATTATACGTGATACTATTTAAAACATTTTCTCTGCAGTATCATCTAGATTTGAGGAAGAGAAAATGAGAAATTAATCTTTGCCACCCTCATTTTGCTTTATTTGTGAATTGATAAATTGTGAAGATTGCCTTATAGCATTTTTTAATCATTAAAACTTTTGCATTGAGCATTCCGTGCTGCCTTTTTAATCCAAAAAAGGGCCTAAAATTCTCTAGTCATAAGAGCTTTAAGTGTTCAGAACTTGCCCTAAGTTTGTTTAAAGCAAAAGGGATGTGGTAGTTTGGTTTGGATGGACCAGCTCACCTTGTTTTATTGTTCTTCACTTTATCGTGGGGTGCACATATTGTGCTCTTTACAAATTAAAGGTTTGTGGCAACCCTGCATCTCAGAAGTCTATTAGCACCATTTTTTCAACAGCATTTGCTCACTTCGTGTCTCACATTTTGGTAATTCTCACAATATTTTAAACTTTTTCATTATTATTATATTTGTTAGAGTGATCTGTGATTACTGGTCTTGGATGTTACTGTTGTAATTGTTTTGGGACACCACAAACCGTGTCGATATAAGATGGTGAACTTGATTAATAAATGTTGTATGTGTTCTGACCACTCCACTAACTGCTGCATCCCTATTCTCTGAGATACAACAATATGGAAAATAGGCCAATTAATGACCCTACGATGGCCTCTAAGTGTTCAAGTGAAAGGAAGAATCACATGTTTCCCATGTTAAATCAAAAGCTAGAAATGATTAAGCTTAATGAGGAAGGCATGTTGAAAGCTGAGATAGACTGAAAGCTAGGCCTCTTGTGCCAAAAAGTTAGCCGAGTTGTGAATGCAAAGGAAATTAAAAGTGCTACTACGGTGAACACATGAATGAGAAGAAAGTGAAATGGCCTTATTGCTGATATGGAGAAATTTGAGTGATCAGGAGAGAAGATCAAACCAGTCACAACATTCTCTCAAGCCAAAGCCTAATGCAGAGCAAGGCCCTAACTCTCTTCAATTCTACAGAGGCGGAGAGAGGTGAGGAAACTGCAGAAAAGTTTGAAATGAGCAGAGGTTGCGTGAGGTTTAAGGAAAGAAGCCATCTCTGTAATATAAAAGCATAAGGCGGAGCAGCACGTGCTAACGTGGAAGCTGTAGCAAGTTATGCAGAAGATCTAGCTATGATCATTGATGCAGGTGGCTACATTAAACAACAAATTTTTGATGTAGATGAAACAGCCTTATATTAGAAGAAGATGCCATCTAGGACTTTTCATAGCTAGAGAGGAAAAGTCAGTGCTTGACTTCAAAGCTTCAGAGGACAGGATGACTCTCTTATTAGGGGCAACACAGCTGGTGACTTTAAGTTGAAGCCATTGTTCATTTACCACATTGAAAATCCTAGGGCTCTTAAGAATTATGCTAAATCTGCCTGTTCTCTATAAATGGAACAACAAAGCCTAGATGACGGCACATCTGTTTACAGCACAGTTTACTGAATATTTTAAGCCCACTGTTGAGACCTACTGCTCAGAAAAAAGATTACTTTCAAAATATTACTACTCATTGGCCAGGCACAGTGGCTCATGCCTGTAATCCTAGCACTCTGGGAGGCTGAGGCGGGAGGATCACTCAAGGTCAGGAGTTCAAGACTAGCCTGAGCAAGAGCGAGACCCTGTCTCTACTAAAAATAGAAAGAAATTAGCTGGACAACTAAAAA